TGGTTTTAATGAATTTGTACAAAAAGCATGTGCTCCACAAGCAAAACGTGTTCCTAGAAATTCAATTAAACGAGTAATTAAAGATCTTTACAAAAATGGAAAAAATGATTTACAAAACTTTTTTATGCAATTTAATGGATGCGTGCATATAGGTAGTGATATTTGGAGTGATCATTGGCAAAATCATTCTTACATGGGCATAACATGTCATTGGATAGATGACGAGTGGACTATTCAAAAAAGAGTTATTGCATTTAGAGTTTTCGATGATCATCATACGACAAATAATATTTATAGAATAATTAGGCAAGTTTTAGAAGAATATTATTTGCTTAACAAAATTTTTTCAATTGGTTTTGATAATGCCGCAGCAAATACCGCTTCAATTGCCGAGTTAGAAAATATTTGTAAACCCGCTTTTGGCGGAAAATTTTTTCACATTAGATGTGCTTGTCATGTTTTAAATTTATGTGTACAAGATGGTTTGAAAACTCTTGATATTTTTCTTCAACCAATAAAAACGGCGATTCAATTTTTATGGAAACATCCCAAAAAAATGAAAGAATGGGGTAGATTTTGTAGAGATAATGGCAAAAAGCCAAAAAGATTTCCAAGAGATGTTCCAACTCGTTGGAATTCTACTACTTCCACTTGCTTAGTGAATCTTTAGCATATAAAGATTTATTATGTGCATTCATTTCTAATAATATACCTGAGATTAATTTATACCCACAAGAGTGGCATATTTGCCAAAAAATTTTAGATCTTTTAAAGGTTTTTAATGATGCAACTTATACTTTGTCTGGTGTTTATTATCCTACTACACATTTATTTTTAGTAGAGTGTACTAATATTGTCGGAACTTTTGATGAATATGAAAATGATGTTGAATTACAACATACTATAGTTGCAATGAAAATGAAATGGCTTCATTATTATAGTGAAATTCCCATGATTTATTTAGTTGCTTGTGTTTTTTATCCGCGTTGCAAATTGGATGGCTTAAATGATTTTTTGCGTGCGTATTATCAATGTTTACATTATGATGTGACAAATGTTACAACCATAGTACGTGAGGTTAAAAACGTAGTAATAGAATTATATAATGAATTTTATACTAAATATAATTTAGGTGATATTAGATCTTCTCAATCTACGGAGATACAAAATGATAGTACAGGTAAAATCAGTAGAGGGTACCAACTTTTATTACATAGACAAAAAAAACAAAAGGGAGTAATAGGAAATATTTCTGAATTAGAGAGTTATCTAACCATTTTATTTGAGTTTACTGAAGCCGAAGGTGGTACAGATTTTTTTATTTTGGATTGGTGGAAGAGGCACGCAAGCTAATACCCAATCCTTTCTCTTATTGCAAAACAGATTTTTTCAACCCCTTGTTCCACAGTTGCGGTCGAACAAGCATTCAGTGCCGGAGGTAATATTTTGAACGAACATCGTTCAAGATTAGATCCAGAATCAGTGGAGATGCAAGCTTATGTTGCTGATTGGACGAAGGCTCAATACCGGCAACAAGAGATAGATTGGAATAATGAATCCGAATTCTTTAACGACGGAGATATTACCGCTACCACTATCGGTACTGGAACGGGTAGTGACGATTAAGGGTAAAAGAACTATTGGAGTTGGCAAATATTTCGGGAACTCTTGTTTCTCATACCGGATACGCCCACGTGAGCTTAGGGAAACCGAAATATAATCCGACGATATGTGACCTCTGGTCCCCTGCGCACGGAATGCTTAGGTTTTGGGATAATTTTAGGATATATATATTGTACTACTTTTTTTTTAAGATCGTTGTAACGAATTGTAATGTGCTTAATGATAATTTATTAAGTTGAAGCCCTCTCTTTCTCTCTTGTCTTTTTTTTTTTTTTGGTAACCCGGGAACCCCCCGCACGGCCGACAGCCGAGGAGGTAAACCCGGGGTGACGCTAGCGCAGGACCCACCACCACGACGTCACACTTAAGAATCCCTAACGCCAGCGCTGGGATTCGAACTCCTACCCTTCGTGGGGGGAGGGGAGCCCGAAGCCAGCGCAGCCACTGAGGGCGGTGGTACATTTTACATTTTAATCACAATTTATATTGAATAATGTTCTATCACAAGAATAGTATTTTTTTAATTTTTTTTATTTTCATTTCTGTTTTTCTTCTTTTTCTTTTCCTTTTCCTTTTCTGTTTTTCCTTTTTCTCTTTTGTCTTTTTCCTTGTTTCGTTTTTTAAAATTATAATTTATATTTTAATTTTTTTCTTCCTCCGCGGCCGGCCATGGCCGGTGCCGCGCGGAGGTCGCCGGCGGCCGGGCGAGGGGCCCTCGCCGGCGTCGGGAGAGGGCGGCCTCGCCGGCGTCGGCGAGGGCGGCCTCGCCGGCGTCCGGCGAGGGCGGCCCTCGCCCGGGCCGGGCGAGGCCGGCCTCGCCCGACGCCGGCGAGCGAGGCTCGCCTCGCCTCGCAACCGGCGAGGCTCGACCTCGCCGGCGTCGGCGAGGCCGGCCCTCGCCTAGGCTCGGCGAGGCAGCGTGCCTCGCCCGGACGCCGGCGAGGCGAGGCTCGGCCTCGCCTCGCAATCGGCGAGGCTCGACCTCGCGAGCGTCCGGGCGAGGCCGGCCTCGGGCCGGGCGAGGCCGGCCTCGCCCGACGCCGGAAGGCTCGGCCTCGCCCGCAACCGGGCGAGGCTCGACCTCGCCGGCGTCGGGCGAGGCCGCCCCTGGCGAGGCTCAACCTCGCCAGCGTCGAGCAATGCCGGCCTCGCCCAGCCCAGGCGAGGGTCGACCTCGCCCGACGCCGGCGAGGGCCGCCTCGCCTAGAGGCCGGCGACCTCCACGCCGGCCTCGGCTATGGCCGGCCGCGGAGGAAGAAAAAAAAAAGAAAAGGAAAAGGAAAAGAAAAAAAACAGAAAAAAATAGGAACCGGCCCGGAACCGGAACCGGCCCGGAACCGGCCCGGAACCAGCCGGTTCCGGTTCACACTTGGCCACGAACCGGAACCGGTCGGTTCCGAATCATGGCCACCTCAACCTAAACCTATTGCAATTATGCCAATTCATCTTAAAACTTTTTGTTTCCCAACAAAAAAATATCTTAAACTTTTTTTTTTGCGCCAATTGAGTCCTAAACTTTTTGCGTTTGTGCTAATTCAGTTCATCTTGCCAATTTTGGCCGATCGACATTGACCGGTGCCAGCCATCCAGCCAACACTGACGTGGTAATTTTTATTATTGATCGGCCAGAGGCGGGGATCGACGAGGTTGGCCTTGCTCGCCCCTGGTGACGGCGAGGCTCGACCTCGCCAGTTGTTGATGAGTTCAAGCCTTGCCAGCGGCAACGAGGATGAGCCTTGCCAACAGTTGACGGGGCTGACCTTGCCGATCCCCACCTCTGGCCAGTCGCCAAAACCGACAACCGGCTAGAGGTTGAAGATGAAGGGAGGGAAAAAAAAAGAAATGGAAAGAAAAGAAAAAAAGAAAGAAATAAATAAATTCGAATAATATAAAATATATATTTAAAAATTACCACGTCAATGTTGGTTGGACGGTTAGGGTTCATATCAGTGCCGGTCGGCCAAATTGGCTAGATGGACTGAATTGATATAAATGCAAAATGTTTAGGGTTAAATTGGCACAAAAAAAAAGGATTTATGACTGAATTGACATAATTGCAATAGATTTAGAATTGTTTAGTAATTTTCCCCTTGATTTTGAGTATTGCCAAAGTATCGAGTTGTCGAAACGAAGTGGCCCAATGGGCCATGGCTTTCACGTTGAGATATTGAGAAAGCTACTTCGCCGGCGGCGAAGGTGATAGCCACCTGACCTGTAGACGGCTGAGGGTGGAGGAGGAGAAAGAGGCGAGAGAGAGGGAGAACAAATGAATTAGGTGTCGATCAGGCTTTGGAAGATTTAAATTGGGCGTGTTAAAGGATCAAAATTGAAGGGTCTCATGTCGCGATCTCACAAGAGAAAGGGTAATAAGATTGGATGGACGACAGAGGGTGGAAACAACTGATCCCGCGTCTGGAGAAGTAATTCCAAACGTGGGAAGCTTCCTTGCGCACGTAAGGACGAAAGTGAGTCCTGCAAAGACCTTTAGGAACGTAGAGGAAGCGGCCATTCAGCAAATTCCTGGAATTCGTAAGGCTTCTTTGACGGATGAAGAGCAGAGGAGACGTTCTAGTCAACACGTAATCTCCGAGACTCCTATGACTGCTTTTCCACCTACATTCCGGCTGCCGCACTTCACATTTTCATGTAAGTATCGTTTTTCATGTATTCCCGTTCACTGTGCTCTCCATTTCAATGCAATCTGTTTTTCTTTGTACTTCGTCCAAACCATGTTCAGACCATAAAAAGGATCAGTTTTCACCGGAAATCTCACTGACTGGCACAAAATACACCTCATGCATATGAATCACACATAGAACATCACGCCGAGTCTCATGCGAGAGCCATCAAATCTAGCCATGCACACATATCAACCCGATTGTTTTGTTAACTATTCTCGTGTTCTGTGCTCTCTCATCTTATGTTTTGTTAAGAGTCTCTTCAAGACTGTTCATTCTAGCCCCCCCCAAACACAACGTATAGACCCTAATCATCCTCAGAAGAAAGCTATTTAAAACACTACTACAATCATAATCAGGACAGAAGACGCGGTTATGCGAATCAAATCATCACTTCGCAAGAGAAAGGAAAAGTCAATTCCCCCCACCCCAAAAGTGCCCCCAAAGTTGGTTCCCAGCTAAATCCAATGTTTCTTTCCCTTTCATTCTTGTAATGATAATGCCAACCAAACAAGAGTGGGCGGGAGGAATCATTTCCCTACCAAGTTGGGGAACAGAATGTTTGGTCGCCTCCTGACGTTGACTTGACACATTTGTGGTGGAATCCAACCCTAGTTAGGGACGAAGGTTGAGGGTTTTAACTAATCCTTAACCCTGGTTAGGGTTATCCCGACTCGACCGGACCCGACCCGACCTAAGCCGACCGACCAGGGGCTCAGCAAGTCGATTGCCTCACCGAGCAAGCCACCACCTGCGCCCACTGCCTCAGCCTCGTCTTCACCACCTGAGGGTCATCGCCTGCAACTCGAGATTTCCCACATTCCAACTTTCTAATCAATACGCATGCACGTGACGACCGGCCGGCGAGTCTTTTGCCGGGCCGATCGGTGTTCGGACGAAAGGTGAAAGAGGAGGAGGATTACCGCGACTGAATATATTGCTCTGCGGGCTTCCGACGGGAGGAGCAGGAGGAGGAGGAGCATCACAGCGGGGGACGGTCGGCGACGCGGCCTCCGGCTTCGATACGCCGCCGGTGTACTGCTTATTGACGGCGTAGTAGAGCTCCAGGGCCGGCAAGGTGTCCGACAGGTGCCGATCCGCCTCCGGCGAGTCGAACCCGAAGCCCAGCTCGATGCACGCCTTCAGCTCGTCGAGGTCGTCGTCCGTGACGCTCCTGCTGCGGAGGCGGCGGTTCTTGCTGTTCCCCTTGCGGCGGAGCCACGCCTCCTCGCGGCACATGTCCGGCGACCACGATCGCTGCTTGTACAGGGACGACGAGCGTCCCGCCAGGAGAGTTGGATGCGGCGTGGCCAGGAACGATAGTTCGTCCGGCGGCGGCGGCGGCGGCGCGCGGGCACCCGACATGGTGGAGAGACGGCGGAGCGCGGCCCCTACCCCGTCGGACGGGGGCGTTTGGGGGGGGGGAGGAGGCGCGCTGGAGAGAGCGCGGTGCCTTCCGAGTTAAGTCTTCGGATATTTTTGGAGAGAGAGTCACGGGGGCTTATAGAAATCAGGGTTATGGTGGGTGGTCGGTCCAAAGTCAATGATGACCTCTCCTTTTTGCATTCTTTTATTTTAGCTTTTTCAGGGGAAAAAATTTCCAAATTTACCCGAAGAATTCTGTCGAGCTCATAGAGGGAAATATGCGATTTTCAAAATATTGATGATCCGTGACGATGATACTCAATAAAAATTGCACTAATCTTTCTTTAGTTAGTTAACAAATGCCCGCGAAATTGATGATAAAATCTTCGATAAAATTAGTGTCATCCTTAGATGATATCGTGTCATCCAAATTTATCAAGTATGTTTACTTTTCATTCTATTAAGGTAGCTGGGCAGTTAATGTCGCGTAGAGGTGTAATAGAATACTTCGGAAGTGTATCCTGCTTATGCTTTATGAGAATAGTCGCTGAAGATTGGATTTGCCGAATTTCTCGATCTGTCAACTAAATGGGAATCGATTGAGTTTTCGGCTTTAATGGGAATCGATTGGATTTATCGAAATGAGTTATTTCATCTCATTATATTTATTTCTTAAACCCAAGTCCATAAAAGTTATATTACTTAAATTGTGCATTGCAGAAAGTTCAGGAAACCAATAGAACTACTTGAAGGTTAGGGATGGTGGATGTTGGACAAAAGTCCAAAACCGGCAATGTCTTGGAAGCTTACTTCAAAGACTAGCTGTATCTTTTCATTCAGAATTATTCTCTTTTTGCTTGCTAGAGAAGTTGTCTTGTGATGCCCACAAGTTGGACTTAATAGATTTCCTTGATCCGACCATCTTAATATCATGCCATTATGTTTCGAATTCCAAGCATCGAGCTGGGCTTGGCATTGAAATGGGAGAATAAACTCTCTGTGGGGGTTTGAAATAGGCTTCATCAAGGCTTATACTAGGTGGGTCGACTTCAGGTCCATTTGAAAATATTGGGTATTCTCGGTTTTTCAAGTTAGCCATAGGCCACTTCACTCACTAATCGTCACGTGTCCGGGCCCAATTTTCATATTTTTCTCTCCTCCATTAGACCCTCCCTCTCCACCATTACTCTTTTCCTCTTCTTCCTTATGCGCCACACTATGAATGAAGCTGTCCAACTTTGACGTAGAATCCAGTTCAGATCTAGCCACGACCGCCTAGTGCGTGACAACAATCGGCGAGGTTAAGATTCCGACGGCCGTGTACGAGAGGCCACGATGGGCAACTACTGCGAGCTCAAATATCGAAAGGAAAAATAAAGGAACCAATCTGAGTCCACTGCAACCTCATCCTCGAGCCCACCACCGCATCATGGCCGCCGTGCCCACCGCCGACTACCTTTCCTTTTAACTTCCAAATCTGAAGTCTCTCCTCAAGTGACCCTCTCGCTGGGAGGGAGCTTCCCATATTTCTAGCCTTCAAAGAAGAGGATGGACTTGGTAAGAGCATCTTTGTAGTTGTATCGAAGCGAGGTTGGTGTGGGTGGTGGTGGTTCAATGGGAAATAGGCATTGCACAGAAACAGGAAAAGAGTGAAAGAGTTACAAAAAAAAAAAAAAAGAGTAACCGAGGAGAGAGGCAGGGAGGTAACGAAGGAGAGAACAAAAATGAAATGTGAACCCCATTTGAACACGTAACAATTAATGAGTGAAGTGGCCTAAAGATGACATGGAAAATCGAGACTACCTAGTATTTTGTCCCATTCATACATGGACAGGCATGGCTCGAGCGTGGTGGGTTATAGGAAAAATATTTTCAAAAACTTTAAAACTCGCTAATTCATCAAATTTCTTCAAAAGCTTATCAATCTTGGATCCTAGGAAGCAGGCTAGGAATCTAAGAAATTTTCTTTGTATTTGGGAAGTTCTCGACATGTGGTCGACCAAGACTCGATAAAATTGAATTAAATCAAGTTACTTATCGATTTTCCCATCGATGACGGCTTATGATATAATCACATGGTAATCATAATGATCGGTGTAATTAGTGTGCGCTCAATTAACATTAGCAATGTTCTTAATCTCATATTTGACATTGATTTAGACAGTATCAAAATAAGCAAAACTCGAGATGCAATTCCTATCACATCCAACGTTGGCGGACACTTTGCACTTTTGAAGTGCCATTCTTTATTAAAGTTTGCACTTTTGAAGTGCCATTCTTTATTAAAGTGCAAACGCCGGAAATCCTTTAGGACTAAATAATCTGAATGAACTGTGTCCTCTCGCACTTAGACGAAGTCTTTCTTACAAATTCTCGTGCAATGTAATCTAATCTTTTGATGGTGACTTAGACTTTGACAGGGAATAAAATTACTAAGCAAAATGAATTCCAAAAAAGCATCCATTGAAAATGAGCTATTGCTGTACCAAGTAATCAGAGGCGTTCTTCTAGAAAGTTTATCGTTACTTTTAATTTGTACGTTAGAACCGACCGCATTATTTTTAACTGAGAAAAAAAAAGTTTGATCTATATTTAAAGGTAATCCTTATCCAATTTTCAAATAGTACGCCCAATGCATAAAAAATTGTAATGTACCAATTGTGGGTGAAGACATACTTATAGATCAAAACCCTTTTTCTCAAATCAGCACAAGCATCAGCATACTTGCATAACTAATACATCTTGTGTAGGACACTACAATCGATTTACATGTCAAAGCTATCCTCTCGAGTTACCCAAAAGGCCTCCTCATTCATTTTGGATTTCTTCATTCCCATTGTATATTGATTTATCTCTAGTAAGTGCAGCATGACATTGGCAGACTAATTTAGCAAACAATATAAATAAATGGAAGCACCATCCTTTTTGCATGAAAGGCATATCAAAATTCACGTGAATTTTAGCTTCCAAAAATAGTTTTCTTCGTGCCCATAAGTATGGAACAACTCCTTTAAATCTATTGTCCTAATTTAATGCGTTCATTATAGATTTAATGGAACAACTTTTAACACCAAATTGTTGTACTTTCAAGCGTATTTCCACCTCGGAAAATTCGAAGTGTAATCAAAGTGATGAGCAAATATTCACTTGAAATTTTGCTAAAAAACAGAGATACATCGTGAGGATTGAGTTAATGCAAGTGAAGTATAATTTATCAAATTTTATTTTCTTGGATGCTTTTTTATCCTACTTTCCATAGTGGCTACTTGTCAACCCAAAATGGTACGACGAATCCTAATTTCATTCGCTTGTGCATCTTTAATGTGCGTATAAGAAAAAGACAAAAATAAACTCAAAACGATATATATATATATATATATATATATATATATATATATTTTGTAGTAGTCTTGCAAAAGAGATTAAAAAGAAAAGAGAGATAAAAACTCATTGATTAATGCCATTTCCTGGAAGCCACGTGAAGTACTTATTACTGTTGGGGGAACCAATGGAGCAGCTAACTTTTTTATTTTTAAAGAGATGAGATGCTTTACTTTCCGTATAAGAAAGACTAAAGATGCAAGTGGCTAGCGTTTTCGTCCCTCATTGCTCATTGTTAACCTCCTCTGTTTCTGTTTCCTGATTCTAATGGCTTCTTCTTCTTCTTCTTCCAAGCCCAGAAGGAGTTACGATGTCTTCCTGAGTTTCAGAGGTCCGGACGTCCGCAATCACTTTCTCGGTCATCTCTACGCAGCTCTAGACCAGACGGGCATACACGCTTACATCGACGATGAAGAGCTGAGGAAGGGAGAACAGATATCGCCCGCGCTTATGAAGGCGATCGAGGAATCGCGGATCGCCGTCGTGGTTTTCTCCGAGGACTACGCCTCTTCGCCATGGTGTTTGGAAGAGGTGACCAAAATCATGGAGTGCAAGGAGCAAAGAGACCTCACGGTCTTTCCGGTGTTTTACAAGGTGGAGCCAAGAGATGTGAGAGGGCAGAGACAGAGTTATGGAGAAGCTATGGCTAAGCATGAGGTCAAGTTCGGGAAGGATTCGGAGAAAGTAGCGAGATGGAAGAAAGCTCTTTCTGAGGCAGGTAGCTTGGCTGGGTGGCATTTTACTAATGGGTAACACTTCTACTACTTCAATTAGTCTTAAATCTTTTGATGCTTCAATTTGCCACTCTCTCCCTCTCTCTCTCAAGCGAACACACCCTCACACAGCACAGATCACACCTATCCAGCACACGAACAGAGTTACCATGTGCGAGAGCCGTTCGTCCTTTCAGAGCCTCCGATGGCCACACCACCGCCCGAGTGCTAAGTCCCCACGCCGCCCCAACCGCGTAACCTCTGCCCCTCTCCGTCTCTCTGTATCAAGGGGCTGAGGCGACAACTGGCGACCCGGATCGGGCGTTGGTAAGCCGTGGGTGATGGTTGCCAGAGGCTTCACGTTGTTGATATTCATCACTGCTACTACTTTGCTAAGAGAAATACCAGATAAAAGGATAGGTGTTCGGGCAATTGAAGGAAAAATAAGATAATTTCAATGAACTTTGTAAAGAGATCAAGACAATGTCGATCAACATTTAGCATATCTAATAATTGACTTGAATTTTTAATAAATGCAAAATAAATTAACACAACATTTGGAATAACATGAAAAATATAATCTTAGATTCTTGTAGATACTAGGGTGAGCATTGTATGTATGGATAGGCGGTTCCCACTTTAGAATCGGGAGTCGACCTGGGAACCGAACACTGAGGGCCGGCTCCACAAAATGGGAATCGGGAACCGCCTTCTAATTCCTGGACCCACCTGGGAACCGGATCACCGGTCCGATCCGGTTCCCGGGTGGGTCCATGGAACCAGCCGGGGAGGCGGAGAAGGGGTAGGGAATGGCGGAGGAGGAGGGGAACGGCAAGCACCGGTCATCGAGTGGGGTGGAGCAGAGGTGGGAGAGGGTGAGATGAGGGGCGAGATGAGCACGGCAACCATGAGGTGGAGCGGGAGTGGAGGGGGGGGGGGGAGAGAGGGGGAGCGAGAGTCGGGTTTTACGAAAGGGTCAAATTCAGGCGTCGAGTGAGAGAGTGAAGATGGTGAAGAGAAGATCTACATCTCTCTAGAGAGAGAATGAACGCAAACTGTGAAAGATAATGGACATTGGTTCGAGGTGACTCGCTCCAACGAGATTGTGAAAGATAATGGGCGCAAACAGTGAGAGAGAAAGAGAGAGGGGAGAGAGCGTTTTATTAATTAGAGAGAGAGTCCAGTCCTTAAAAGCTTAAATTTAAATATATATATATTTACATGTGTATCAGTTCGGTTCGAGAGTGGGCGGTCGATTTCACATTTGAAATCGGAAATTGGATTAATATTTATCGGTTCCAAGAAATTAGAATCAGAAACTGGACCGATCCCCATGAGAACTGCCAGTTCTGGACCGGTTCGGTCCAGTTCTGGGTGGTTTCCGGTTCTTTTGTACACCCCTAGTAGACACGGGCATCTTCCTAGTTGAACATATTTAGACATTCATCTCCAGATATATTGCGGACTAGTTTATTACTCAGCAATTCTCTTTAATTACTTATTCATTTCTTTGGATTGCTCTATGAGTGGTTTCAACTAATTTTCACTTTTCAGATATGAAGCGGGGCTTATACAACATATTGTACAAGAGATCTCAACCCAACTAGATCGAACGCCATTAAATGTAGCCAAGTATCCGGTAGGGATAGATTCTCGAGTACAAGAGCTTAAAACAATCTTAAATATACAGTCCCAGGATGATGTTCTTATGGTAGGATTATGGGGACAAGGAGGTGTAGGGAAGACAACCCTTGCTAAAGCCATTCATAATGCTATTTTTAGAGAGTTTCAAGGTGCTAGTTTCTTGGAACGTGTTCGAGAAAATTCCAAAAATTCCACTGATTTGGTTGCTTTGCAAGAAAAATTGCTGTCACAGGTATTACCAGGGAAGAAGTTAATAGTCTACAGTGTTGGTGGAGGAAGTCGGTTAGTTCAAGATAGACTTTGTAATAAGAAAGTTCTCATTATTCTTGATGATGTTGATGATGCATGCCAATTAAATGCTTTAGCCGGAGATTGTGAGTGGTTTGGTAATGGAAGTAGGATTATTATCACAACAAGAGACAAGCATTTGCTGACTTCTCATGGGGTAGATCGGAATCATATGTATGAAGTTAAAGCTCTTGAGGATGGTGAAGCTCTCCAACTTTTTAGAAAGCATGCTTTTCTAGGAAATCAAGTAATAGAAATAAGCAGCACTCTTGTTGATCAGGTTTTACACTATGCGAGAGGCCTTCCTTTGGCTCTTGAGGTGTTGGGTGCTTTCTTGTGTGGTAGAGGAGAAACTGAATGGAAAAGTACCTTGCAAAAACTTGCCAAAAGTCCTGACAAAAAGATCAATGATGTGTTAAAGGTAAGTTATGATGGATTGGAAGACTATGCAAAAGAGATTTTTCTAGACATTGCCTGTTTCTTCAAGGGGAGGAGTAGAGAGTATATTAAGAAAGTTCTTGATAGTTGTGATTTTGAGACGACTATTGGAGTACAAATTCTCATTAAGCGCTGCTTGATTAGTGAAGAGTGCCAGACCTTACAAATGCATGACTTAATGCAATTAATGGGTACGGATATTGTCAAACAAGAATGCCGTGATGATCCCAGAAAACGCAGTAGGTTGTGGCTTTATGATGATGTTCTTGATGTTCTATTAGGAAATGTGGTAAGACTTGTGATAATAATTCATATTCAATTCTTATGTTTGACTTTGTTTATTATAGTTACAAAGTAATGTTAATATATTCAAATAAATACACAGGGAACAAATAGGATAAAAGCTATTGTTTTGGAGCTACCAAAGCCAGAAGAGATGTATATCGGTCCTAATGCTTTCGTAAACATGAGAAAGTTGAGGTTGCTCATCCTGCTTAATGTAGATAATTCTTTCCAAGGTCTCATCCATCTCCCCAGTGAGTTAAGGTGGTTTGAATGGCCTAATTGTGCCTCGATTCCAGATTTTAACTATGGTCCAAAGAAGTTAGTTGGACTTGATATGCGGAAAAGCAAGATCAAAGTAGTGGGGGAACAATTTAAGGTGCGTATTTACTTGGTCTTTTTTTCATTACTTATATGTATTATATTTGATGATGTTTATTGCTGTCCTTAGGAAAACATCTACAATTACTATATTCTTTACACATATTAAAGCATCAAATGTAGGCCGTCAATCTAGTAAATGAACCAATGCCGTTAAAATCTTTGGTCGTAAAAACTATGCCTTCTAATTGACAACTTGTTGGTTATATTTGAAAGGGTTAATACCGCGAAAAACCCCAAACCGGTACACCTGTGACGAGTTTATCCCAAATTAATCTTTTGACCACCAAAAACCTTAAACTGGTACACATGTGATAAATTTACCAAAAACTAATTTTTTGACCGCCAAAAACCCCAAACCAGTACACTTGTGACAAATTTACTTTCCGTTAAATTGAAATAATATCACAAAAAAACATAAATTGATAAATTTGTGACAAACTAAGGGATAAATCATAAACTAGTATACCCGTCAACTATCACGTATCATCCAACTCAACAATTTGAAAGTAAAATTTAATGTAAACTAACGGAGAGTAAATTTGTCACAGGTGTACCGGTTTGGGGTTTTTAGTGATAAAAAAATTAGTTTGGGGTAAATTTTTTATAGGTGTACTGGTTTAGGATTTTTTGTGATATTAACCCTATTTGAAATACATATAGGAAATATTTCATTTTTCATCCTTGTACTTTAACTGCTTTTCTGATCAAGTCTATGTGTTTTTAATTTTTCTAACTAATCTAGTCATTCTATTTATACAAAATGTATAATCAAGTCTCCCCGACATCAAATCTGACCAAATCTAGCTGACGTGATCGTCCAAATATGACATGGATTGAATATTGCCTACATGGACGCCCACCGTAGATAATGAATAAGTGCCCATGTATGTGTGATATTTAATTCACGGTACACTATCGAGTCGTCCAAGGGCCACGTTAGCTTTAGATTAGGCTAGATACTAGAGAGACTTGATTAGATAATTTATGTAAGCAAAAGGACTTGATTAGAAAAATCAAAAGTACAGGAACTTTATTAGAAAAGTAGTGAAAGTACCGGAATGAAAAATAAAACTTTTCCGTCCATGCACACGAAAAATGACAGCAACGAGCTCAAACCATCATGACTTTGAGAAGAAAATTGAAACAAAAACTTCTTGGTTTGTAATTTGACATTTGAGTGCTGAATGAGCTTAATATATACCATGAAACTTTTAATTTGATTTGTAGGTTTTTGATATATAGTTGGTGATGGTCTAAATGTTTTCAAAGACCCTTCCCAAGAGAGAATTGAGAAGCCACATCTTTAGAACTCTGGTAATGGGTATATCTCTTTTTCTTGTTAAGTTTCAATTAGTGTACTAGCTAAAATAATAGAACTTAAAATAAAATTCAACCCATTCGAAGATAATCAACAATATTATCAATGTGATTGAGCTTGCTCCATCTCATGCTAGAAAATCTCTTTTTATTTTTTATTTTACTTGTTTGAAATATTGCATATACTTATGTTACTCCATAAAAAAACAATGCAATCTTATGTCTTATTTTTCTTTTAATTAGAAGATAAATCTACAAGATGAGGTTTAGATCAACTCAACATAAACTTCCACATAAGCTTTATCGGGCAATTTGATTGATATGGATATTTATTTTGTTATTTTCTTGCAAAAAAATTCAGGTCGATATCGACATTTAGGATGATTTAACAAATATAGTCTTAGACTCATGCAACGCATGGACATCTTACTGGTTTTACATAAATTTCAATAACTTTAAGATATTGGTAAGCTACATAAAAATATTGGTATTTTATTGAAATAGTTGGTAATTTAAAACTATCTAGTAATTGTAGGTGCTTTTTAGAAGTGTTGGTAACTTACCAATGCGTTACCGAGTAAACAAGTTTCCAGTCAAAATTTTGTTAGCAATGTCTTTCAACCTTTTAACCAACACGGAACAATGTTCCGATTTCTGCGCTTCAGAACAGCAGAACCGCCCCTAATGTAATTTGTTCAGGAAAATTGCAAGGACAATTTATTGGCCCGTGGACAAATAGGAGTGCTTACTTGTTCATCCATGTTTTGGGGTAATGCTTATGAGTTATGATGTGTGAAGACTTTTGCATATAGTTTCCTAGTATCTGAACATACCACTAGTTCTTTTAATTGAAAACTTAGAGCCAGATTTTGAATTGACTATTTATCTCAGTTCTTGTTTTTCACCCGAAATGTTTCTTGCAGGACTTTAAGAAATTGAAGTTCATTAACTTTAGTGAATGCCAGTCTCTTGTTTGTATGCCAAACCTCGATTGTACTCCAAATCTAGAGCAATTGGATCTCCATGGGTGCAAAAACTTAGAGCATGCCCACACATCAGTTGCATGTCACGGCAACTTACAATTGTTGAATTTAAGTGGGTGCTCTAAACTTCATGATCTCCCTACTATGCTACAGTCCAAGAATCTTCGACATCTCAATCTTGAATATTGCTCAAAATTGCATAGGTTCCCTGATGTTCCGGATGAAATCGAGGGCTTGCAAGTACTTAATTTAAAAGGGACTTCAGTTGAGGAACTTCCTACATCCATAGAAAATCTTGTCTCTTTGGAGGAAATGGATTTAAGTTATTGCAAGAAACTGGCAATCCTTCCGTCTAGTATTTACGGGTTGCGAAATCTTACAAGCCTGAGGCTTGAAGGCTGCTCAAAACTAATCAAGTTTCCAAAGAAGGAGGAGGACTCGAGTGATCCCCACGCGAAGACGGGCTTTCCAGAGTTAAAGTTTTTAAACCTTAGCGAATGCAATCTATCGGAAGTAGATTTTCTGGAAAATGATTCCTGTTTTCCCTTTTTAAGAAATGTGTATTTGAGGAAAAACAATTTTACTAGCCTTCCTGCATGCGGGCAACTATACAAGTTGGAACAGTTGGATGTTTCGCATTGCCACCAACTCCAAGAGATCCTCGAGATTCCTCGGCAATTGAACAAACTATCGGCAAATAACTGCGAATCTCTAAGTAAAATTCCCTCCGACATTGATGCTGACGTTGTTGACTTCTCTTCATGTCATGAACTGCTCCGTAATGGCTTCACCATGAATGATTTGTTCAACCTTGAGGTTAGACTCTATCTCACTCTCTCTCTTCGATTACTTTGGAGTTTTGTACATGTTGACTGCACGAGTGATTGTATATTGCGAAAGGCTGAAAATCCTACATGAGTGGGCTAATTAAGAAAAGCAAGCATCGAAAGTGATTCTGCATGTATACGTGGTGGAGGTGGCTATAAGGCTACGCAAAGGATACTCTCTATTTATGGAGCTCTATTTCGCTGTGGAATTACAACGAAAACCATCAACAATACATGTACATTCAATTACAAAATCTTCAACAATGCATATCCCGTATCTACCAATTAAGCACCAAAAATCTTTGTAATGCTATTGCTAACTATAGCAAAATTCTAGGACTTCCCACTTAACTCATTGAAACTCCTCTTTCTAAGAGCCAATTTCGAAAAAAACTAACAGTCTACATCTGTGACAGAAATTTCGTCCAAAAATTGCTTGCGACCTTCTTCTACCTGGAGGAGAGATGCCAAAGTGGTTGCTCCCTGAAGACGAGGGTTCTATTTCTTTCACAGCTTCAAAGGACTTGTATAAGAAGTTCCTGGGATTAGCTTTTTGTGTTGTATTCCAAGAAGGAAAAAAGAATGAAGAATTCAAGCTTCAAGCATACGTTAATGGCCAGAATACGATGGAAGGCTCAAGCACTTTCGGTTCATTGGATTTGGGTCATGTGTGGCTTCTATATTGCGTACCAGAGGTGCTGTGGAAAGGAGACCCTTTTGGTCCAAATGACTGGAGTCATTTCCAGCTTATCATTACAGCACCGCCTAGTGTAACTGTCAAAAAGTATGGATTCCGGCTAATATGCAAGCCACTAGAGAACGATTTGGAGATTTTGCTTCAAGATGATCAGTTGCTGGATCCAGCTTTACTCTACGAGGTTTCGCATGAAGATAGTCAAATGATCATAGAGGAAGAAAGTTGAAGAGAAACCAAAGATTTACTAGATAAAAAAATTAGCACAGAGGAAAATAGTTCGAGTAATTTAGTGCACAAAGGGTCAAACATGGCTGCTCAATCTTTCCAACCAGAATTTGCAGGTAGCGAAATCTTGTAACCCTGATGCTTCACGGCTGCTCAAAGCTAATCAAGTTTCCATAGAAGGAGGAGGATTCGAGTGATCCCTATACAAATACATATATCTTGAGAAGAGATCCTTGAGATTCCCCATGGCTTCAAAGGACTTGTGTTACAGGTTCCTAAGATTAGCTTTTTGTGCTGTACTCCAAGTGAAAGGAGGAAAAGAGAATAACTTTGCGATTGAAGTATCCATTGATGGCTACATTAATGCTGCACACTCATGGACTTTCAGTTCGTTGGATTTGGATCATCTGTGGCTTAATTGTTACGAAACAAGGAAGATGTGGGGAGTGAACGCTTTTGATCAAATGACTGGAGTCATTTCCAGATTAGCATTAGAGCATTGTGAAAAAGTGTGGATTCTGACTAACATGCGAGCCACTAGAGAACGATTCCGAGGTTTTACTTCAAGGCAATCAATTGCCAGATTCCGATTTACTTTAAGAGATTTGGGATGAAGATAGTCCAACGAGCTTAGAGGAAGAAAGTTCAATTGAAATAGAAAATCTACCGGATAGTCAAATGAGCACAGAGGAAGATAGTTCAACCAAATTAAGTCCACAAAGGATGAAACATGGCAGACTTCTCAATTGAGGTCCCTCTCTCTCTCTCTCTTTCTCTCTCTCTGCGTTAGTGTATGTGTGTACGTGTGTTGATACCGAGTGTATGTTGGGCACACTATGTTTGTATACTACAAAAGCCGACAATTCTAGACAAAGAAAAAAATCTAATATGAAGTGATTCTGCTTGTACTTGCAACAGGCGTGGCTGCAACACTTGCAAGGGAATGGTTTTTATGGCATGAGTATCATATTTGACGTAAGCAAGGATCAATATGTCTAGTTATTACACAATGATAAATATGTCTGATTATTATAGAACTCTAGCTTGGTTGAATCACAAGGATTATGCTCAATCCAAACTCTCTACTTATACTAATTACAAACTTGAGTACTTCTAGCAATTTACCCTTATAACAGAAGTATCGTTATTCTCGAATTTCTCCTAATTACCGAAATGTTCTTCCTTGAGGAGAGATACCAGAGGCGTTCAATCTTGTTGACAACGGTATCATATCTTTCATGGCTTCATAGGACTTGTATGACAAGTTCCTAGGATTGGTTCTTTGTGTTGTTTTTGGTGCAAACGATGGAAAAAAAATCTTTCGACATCGTGCCACATGTCAATGGCCAAAGACAGAATGTGCTAACAGGAACTCTTGAGTCATTTGATTCGGATTACGTATGGATTCAGTATCTCAAACCAAATGTGTATAGGGGAGTGTTGGAGGGAGGAGTTGATTTTGGTCAATTTGAGGAGTCATTTATGATTTAGCCTTAGACTTAAGAGTATCGATTGGAACCCTGAAAAAGTTGGGATATGTGCTAAGATGCAGGCAACTAGAGGATGATTTGAAGGTTATGCTTAAAGACAATCAATTAGTGGATCTAGCGGCACTTTGTGAGGATTCTGATGGATCAACATATTCAGGAGAATTCTTATGCAAATGTCACATATCTATAGAGGAACCGGAAGCCAGTGAAACAGATTATATGGGAAGAGTCGAGTGGTAGTAGTGTTGGGCTTGCAGTTCTTGAGGAAGCAACCGTTAAGCTAGCAAAACAAATCAGGGGTCGAAGTTGCTGCACATCCATTGGGAATACGCAGGAACGCATGGCTAAACAAAAAAAGATGCAAGGGAAGATCCTCTTCTTCCTCGACAAAGGCATGATAACCTTTCATTGCAGCGACTTCTGAGGGAAGGAAACTACTTTCGTTTCGTTGCGATGGTGTGTTTCTGGTGATACTTGTTTTATGCCTACTTTTATTTGATTCAAAAGTGAAATCACGAGCCAGTGACGCACTTGTCATGAGTCCATCAAGAGAAATATATATGAGCCTACCGAAAGGTTTAGTGCACACATTTTTCATATGCAAATACTTACGGGAAATATATTTGAGCATAAGCATAATTATTGAATCTCTATCCTGTGGAGCTTTTCTCTAGATATGTTGGCATCGATAGTTTCTAATTTACATAATTTCTCAATGTTTTCAAAAAGTTAATTTTTTTTCCTTTTTGCTGATTAAAGTTTTAGAAAGTACAAATTAGCAAGGGATAATGACACAGATAGTCCTTGAACTTTGACCCAATATGCAATTTGGTCCATGAACTTTTAATTTGTTTAATGTGACATTGAACTTTAGCCCAATACGCAATGCCGCCTTTAAATTTTTAATATGTTCAATGTGGTCTATAAACTTTTGGTACATGTTCAAGTTCGTTTATGAAATATATGAAAATATTCAATATTATCTTTTCATTAATTCAAGTTCAAGAACAACATTGAACATTCAAGTTAGTAGTGGTGTACTTTTTGTCATGATCTCACCCTTTCACTAATTTTTGGGTACTTATGATCTTTCATCTATTTCTCTCTTATTTCTTTCTAAGTGTAATTTCACATTAATGGTAGTGGTGTACTTTTTGTCGTGAATCTAAAGAGTGATCAAAATTTACGTTTGGTTTGTACGTTTCTTTTCAGTATATGCTCACATATTTTAGCTTAATAAGCAATAACATGATACGTTTTCTTTTATAACTGTCTTAACTTTACATTTTATCGAATTACACTTAATGGAGCCAAGTGGCCCATTCTTATGTTTTGGGTAAAAATCCAGATTTTTGTAATATAGTATAAAAATTTCACCATTTCGTTACAAAAACATTCCTTGTTTAAATGACTATGTGGTGGTTTGATCATATGGAAGGCTATGGTGTAAATCTTGATGGTTGCAAAAGTTTTGCTTTTCTTTTTTTCTTCCCTCCAAAAGAGACTTCAAAATAGGTTTAACCAGGCGAGTGAAATCGGCGATTCCGGCCTTGGAACCTGGAATTGAACTGATTCTACCTACGGTCAGCTTGACACTAAAACGATCAGGCCATTTTTAGTCGGTTCTTGGCTTGAATCAGATCTGATGCTCACCCCTAGGTATGGCCTTAATATTTGCCACAAGTGAGTGGTGTCTTCGCAATTTTTCGGGCCTGGGTAAGACCAAGGTCTCGGATATCTAAAATGTTGCCCAATTTTTCGGACCTTTTTGGTCTTGAATATATCAAATGTGCTTCTAAAATAATTTAGGAGTTGATCGCACCAAGAAAAAATAAATTGAGAACTCAATTCCATTTAGTGGGACTTCCAGTGCACTATTCTCTCTATATTGAGAACCTTTTCCCACGCTAAACTGTTGAGGAATTTTCTTTTGTTTTTTGCCTTTCTTCCTTGAAAAAATTGGGCAACGTTTTAGAATATTCTCCAAGTAAGTTCCAATTTGATTTTCTCATATTCGGTTGGGACTTTACGAATAAATAAATAAAAATTTAATGTAAATTTAACTAGAAAATCTCAAAACTCGTTAATTCATCTAATTTATCCAAATGCACGTTATCAAGCAAGCTGGCTGAGAATCTAAGCATTTTTCTCTGTATTAATGAAGTCGTTGATATGTGGTTGAGCAAGGCTTGGTAAGATTTTAAATCAAGTTACATACCTATTTTCCTTGTCGATGAAGATCTATGATCATATCATATCGAATTCATAATGATTGGTGTAATTAGTGCGCTCGATTAACATTCATGATGTTCTTAATCTCATATCCGAGATCGATTTGGACAGTACCAAAATAAGCTAAAACTCCATAACGCAATCGGTATCCCATCCATTGGTGGACACAATGCACTTCTGGAAATGTCATTGTTTATTGAAGACCAAACGTGGAAATTCTTTTGGACTGTACAACGTGAATGGAATGGGTCACTTCACACTTCTTTTGGATGGATCCAATTATTTTGATAGTGAATTGCACTTGGATTTGCCAGGGAATGGATTTAGTAAGCAAATCAATTGCCAAAAAGCATCCAATGAAAATGAATGGTCGGGGATGGACAAATGCCCCCACTCGAGCGAACTTCGCTCATTTTTCAGAAATCATCGACATCAGAGATTATGACAAGAGCCTTGAGTAGTAGACAACATGAAGAAAATCGACAAGTCATAAATACAATGAAGATATCGACAACAAACTATTGCAGAGTTTACTAAGTGTTGAAGAAGCATCACCTACGAACAAAGAAGAGGAGTGCCTACACGCTGGTCGAAGATAAAGGCAATGGATTGACACGAGCACATGATCGCAGGGTGGCTATGTTTATAGTGTTGAGATTTGTAACTTTTTGTGGATAATTATCGATAAAAGATAGGAGATCATGTCTAGAATTTGTAACTCTCATTTCATTTGATTGAGATCATATGTGAATTCAATATTTCGTATCAAATGTATTGTGGGGAGTTTCAAAGGGAGGAGTTAATTTTGGTCAATCTAACGAGAGTTTTTTACGATTGAGCCTTCAACTTAGAGTATCGGGTGGAACTGTAAGAAAAATTAGAGTGTGTGATAAGATAGAGGCAACTAGAGGATGATTTGAAGTAGGGTTGAACAATTCCAAGTTCTGTACAGGTTCCACTTGAAACCTAATGGAACTTGAAACCTACTCATTAGTACAGGTTCCTTATTTCTTGGAATGTGGAACTTAAAACCTATCCTGTCATAGGTTCCAGGATCGGTTCTAGAGTCTACCCAGTATCTACTTGTATTATTTATTGAACGATTACAGTGAATCATCACCTTTAATGACCACCACTTGCCACTATAATCCACTGACTACAACTTATATTTAGACATACAATAAAATACGAAACATTAACAAAGTAAAAGTCCCGGTCATAAAATGAAAGTTTAGACTAGTAGTTCCAAATTATACACTCATCTTCGGATGCCATGGAATACTACAGGTTCGCACGAAGACATAGACAAAGAAAAACATAAAAACTTGTTCCAAGTTCCACCTACCTAGAACCTAAAACCTACTCGTCGAAACAGGTTCCTCAATTTTTTGAACTTTGAACTAGACAGGTTCCCACCGATCCGGTTCTCGAGTTGTAGGTTCGACCCTAAAATCATGCTCACCCCTAATTTGAAGGTTGTGTTTGAAGACAATCAATTAGTAGATTGAGCTGTGTTGGGTGGTCTTTGAGTATTTTTCATTCCATAAGTTAACTTAGAGGGTGAAACTTTCCTTCACACTTATAATATGACCACTAGCTTCTTCCATAACCGATATGGGATTAACTCCAGTAATCTCCCACTTACACGTGACTGTACCGTTAGGCTCGCATTAAGCTTGGGGAACCGGCCGTCTTTTAGTTGACTATGATCGTACCATTAGGCTCTCATTTTCCTTCCTCTAATGAAACGATCAAATTTTATTTAAGTACTAAAAATGAAAATGACCAAGTTGATTATTTTGCGGCCAAAGAAGTGACTCTGGCACTGGGGTTTGTCTTCGGAAGGCTCGCCAGTGGAATTGGAAAAAATACAGAATTCCGTAGAGAGCATGGCTTTAAAAGTCATCTTAGTTGAAATCACGGCTGAAAGAGTCTTGCGACTTTTACTTCTCCGGAAAAGTTAAGCATTCTGTCGCGACCTAAATTTTCTCAGGCTAATGGATTATTAAGACTAAGCCTAACTCGGGCCCTCCCAAACCCTACCAATTCGCAACTTAGGATTTAAGTTTTTAACATGCAAATATTTTCAGCTTGGAGTCGCCACTAATCTATTTGTGGTAGGTCGATTAGAAACCTAAATAAAACATAGGGAGATATGTTTTATTCCTACGAACCAGAGATTCTAAGCTCGGGAACTTGATTACGCTAGATCTAGTCTAACGCCCTTTCGGTACATTTTCTTTTCAAAAATGTTTATGCATGCAGTTTGGATCCATTTTATTGCCTAATCACTAACATGTGAGATGTTCATACGGGTACGCAAACCACCAAAGTAACACCCAATAATCAAAACATTAAATAAATTGCAAGATTGGGAGAATTACTTACCTCGAAGCAACGTAA